CTGCCCAATTCCCACTTGAAACTGAAAGAAATGTGTCGGTACCTTGCGGTTGGTTTCTTCCGTTACTCTCTGAGATTCCACTCATCGTCTCTATATATATGTCTAACCGTCACGACAAATATGCCCTGCTCTCATTCTTTCATATTGCATCGTACACCATTTTTCTCCTAAGTACCACACTCGAAAGGTTTACATATTTTAAAATCTCCCTGGGCATTTCTGTCAGCCGTTTTTTTTCATTGCTTTACTGCAGTTGGGTGTTTTATGGAGAAACATTCGAATTGAGTGTTGACATTTATTTTTATTATAAGTATAATTTAGGAAATTGCCAGAATACGGCAAGTGCCAATGACGGATTAGTCACGTGTCTATATGTTGGGTTGGTAGGGATCACCGGACATTTAAAAAACTAAATCATGCTAACGTTCCGGGTTTCATACCACATCCGTAATCTGCAGGCATTTGACTCTACGTATTTTCATTCCCGGTGAAATCGTCCAAAAGTCAGAGTATCTTATACTACTACGTGCATTCTCCGGAGTTTATTCCCCTTGTCTATGTTTGCTTTCAAAATTCGGGGTAACCACACAGGACAATTTACACGTCGCATGCTTTGATTGGGCGGTTAGGATACCTGGCACTACTTATTGTTCCTTTGATGATGTTTCAATCGTCAGCGGACTTTTCATAAAGAAAATGTTCGCAGTGTGCCACCAAGAATCCGTTTTTTATCGCAGAGCGGAGATCCTCGATAACCATTCAGTTGAATTTCTGTCATTGAGATTGTCTCACGACAGAGACACGGTAAGTTTTGCCGTACAATTCTAAGTATTTTATTCCGTCTTCACCACGAAGGTGTTGCATAAGCACATTTTCATGACAGTTGCCTTTTTGCGCCCATTTTGTCCTTGCAGAAAAAGCGACACTTGTCATGAGAACGCAGTGCAGTGTTGGTGTAGCCGTATCTAGTCAAAAGGCTCTAATGCTGCTTCACTCGATTGCCGATGCGCTGAAACACGCAACGTTTGGCAGCTTTTGTGCTGCTCAACCTAACTAAATGAATAAACCAGGGTCTTAGAAAAACTGCGTGTATGATAAGACAGCCGTACTGAATAAAACTCAGTGATTTTCATTCAGTTTCATCTACTCAATTTTCACAGTATTGTTCTCATTCACTTGGACAAACAGTTCATACACTGATGAAGTGCTTCTTGCTTTGACGTATGCTGGCAGCTTTGATACGCTTTGTTCCTAGGGAAGATCCGGCATCCATTGCAACAGCCCTTTGTCAGTATTCTCGACTTAATGTGATTAGATTGTAAATAGAGTGCGCTTATCTTCACACGAAAAAAGAAAATTGCGCTGGATACTGCCCTTTGTCACGAATTACGTCTCTAAACCTGTAACAGAAATATCCTTAGGATTGTTAATGAACGAGTAAAAAGCTTTATAAACAAGCCTTGCAAACGTTGGACATTGTTAAACAGCTTATACTTCAGAGGTTGCAGCTACGTTTTGACGTCATTAAAACGTAAAATCCAGTTTAAAGAATAGGCACGAATAGTTTGTTTTCTATGCAAGAGCACAGCCGTTTACGTGATTATAGAAGATACCCTTGTAGTAGGAAATCATTTCGGATGACATCCAGAGATAAACAGGCGGTTATAATCCACCGAATTAGAAACCCCACCATGGGTTGCTGTGTTCAGGAATTACTAAACGTTTTACAGGCCAACTAAAATGTCTTTAAAAGCATGCGAAATTGCATGTCGAGGTATGGAAATGAATGCTCCGAACAAGTACGCTGTTTTAATAAACCACTTAAAAAGCGCTCGTTCCAGGTTTGGCAACTGCTATTAGGTGATTCGCTCGTTTGAATAACGTCTGTAGCTAAACACTGATTGGGCCGGAGTGCGTTTCGCATGTGCACGTAATCATAAGCATGCTCTTGGCTGCATGTACCTTGGCCTTACTTCAGTCGTGGCTTTCGGTTGCAGTTGGATTTAAGCTTAGTGATTCAAAACTACTTTTGCCATATTACAGTTATACTCCGGTCAACTACACCCTCACAGGATCTGGCAGTTCATGTTATAAATGGTGGTCAGGGACACCTGAAGTTGTCAGCGTCGTTCCCCTTGGCGAGCCCGGTGAATTATGTTCTAACAAAGTCTCTGTCACCGCAGTTTGGCAATCAAACGTGCGAGTGACATCAACAATATATGCCGAGGACTTGCGTAACTCTCTCTCTCTCTTAAGTTCTCTTTTCCATAGACACCGGGCACATCCTAAAGTGTGACGTTATCGTCGACGACATACATAGCATTAAAATCGCCACAACTACCCAAGAATTGTACTTGCATAACACGCCTGAGTCGCTGG